ATTTACATGTTTACAATAAATACCATTACTTCCTCTTCTAAGTTGCCCTGAAAGACATGTCAATCCAACTAATCACGGTTTTGCCAAGCTCCGCCCACACACTAACTCCACCAATCACATTTAGGACAAACTCCACCCACACAACAAGGAACTCCCCTGTAAAAAATGAAATGTTGGATTTACTTAACCATGTTATGTGACCTGGTTCCACTTAACTGAGTTGAGTAAATTCAAAGAAATATACCAGTTTTTTAGCCAAAGAACATGAGCATGTTGCTTTGAATTTACTCAACTCAGTTAAGTGGAACCAGGTCACATAACATGGTTAAGTAAATCCAACATTTCATTTTTAGAGTGTACTGCAGAGGGGCCACTTGATGTCATAGTTTTTTTTTAAAGTTGTTAAACATCAGAGTGGTGCACTACCGCTGCTAGTGGTGAAATAGTAGTGCAACTCAATCGTTTGGTTTAACAACTTTTTTTAAATACGTAGAAAAAAAATCTTAGTCAGCCGCTAGCAGTTGTTAGAGAAATGGAAACACTTTAAACAAAAAGTAGAAGGTAAAAAAAAAACTGACAAATAGACCAAAATTGGATGTATGTGGACTTTTTCAAATATCGTTAGATACGGGACTTGTTATCCAACAAAGCACTGAAGCCAACCAAACTAAAACAGCATCTAGGATTTGTCACAAATACAAAGAGCTGGTAAAAAAAATTAAAAACTAATTGTTTTGTGTTAATGTTCATTTGTGTTGGTGGGGGTAATTTAATTCTGCTTAAGTTACAGGAAACTTGATCAATTTAATCTTTAGTTGCTGAAGCTTTTTTCACAACTGGAAGTTAAGCAGCTCATAATGGAGAGCCTTCAGGGATCAATAGCTGAAGACCATAAAGACTAGATGAAACAGCAGGGCAAGTTGTACTTTCAGTTTTGTAGTTTTTCTTGTTGCAGACAAACTCATGTTGTTCAGTTTGCAACACAAACAACAATATAAGAGCGGAACAAATCTGAAGTAGAGCCTATGATAAAGTCTCCTCTATGTTTTTATCTGAAACTGAAAATTATGGATATTTTTATGGATTTGGTCAGCTGGTCTCTTATTACATTTTTGGAACAAATTTTCTTCCATGGGAGGACATGTAAAAGCTGGGACCTCTGTTCTGCTCTGTTCTGGAWATATATTTGGATTCTGTTCACTGGATTCTACAGATTGGCTTGGTGGTCTCCTGGTGTTCTGCARAAACAGCATCAGTAGCTATTCAGGCCATTTTCTGGCTACCTGACCAATATGAACGATTGCCATGCTATCTGCCCTCAGACTCACGCTCTGTGTAAGCTGGTACTCGGTCTGCAAGTGGTTCTTGCTGAGGGTTGTGGGCTGGCTACGGTCTCTGGACATTGCAGGTGAGATGGAATTGATCTTGGAGAAGCTGATAACTCAGCTCGGCAGAATTGTCCACACTATTTGTCTGATTGGATTCACCACATTGGGATGTACCAGTGGACATGAAGGCAGATGGAAATTTATTATTGTCTGCCTGACCGAAAACATTTTCTTCTGTTCCCAAACAACTGATTACAGGCCCCCCTAAACTCAATTTACTTCTCTGGCTAAYAAATGTGATTTTGCTCTGCAGATGTTTTTTTTCTTTAAACACCATAGGGTGTCACATTTGGTCGATATAATATACATATTTTTTATTTTCCTCATCTTTCCGTGTGGTTTTTCTTYTTTCTTTTAAGGGTTGCMCCTCCTCATGATGTTCTTTCATGATGATRATCCTTGTTCTGTRCAGGGGTCTATGGCTGCATGACCAAGGGCACCTGTTCTCCTATGTTTGTTATGTTYTGTCTTCTTGTGAATGGGTGGTCTGAACTGTAATTCTGTTGYACTCTGTACGATGACAATAAAGGTTTATCTTWTCTTAAAGTCACTGTTCTACCTTTCAATATGACAATTTTATGTTTTTATTAATCCTAAGTATTTAGAAAAATGCACTTCAAATGGTTGATAAATGCATWGCTTGAATAGATTTTTTCTAAAGTTTCTGCGGGGTATGCATCTGGACCTTCTGGATCACTTGGTGCTTCTGGTGCACATCACTACATGGGTTTCCGTCATTGTCACCAGCAAATGTTGGCAGGTCTGTAAATGTTTGTCATAATCATATTWTCTTATTTATTTGACAAAGTCTTTGCTTATTAAATTCTAACTGCATGAAATTATAATGTAAGGTATATCAAGATCTACATGTAGATTAATTATCACTTTGATCAGTGGTAATATCTGAATGTGCCTTGTGCCGYTTYAGATTCAACAAGTTGGGCCCCAAGGTTGAACAGATTAAGAACCTCTGTTCTAAATGACAAAACATTTTTATAAATAGAAGAAAGAGAACAGCAACTTCAGTAAAATGATAAAACTTTGTCATCTCAGCTTTATTAAACTGTGGTTCACATTTTAAGCCACGCTTGTTGTGGCCATTARCTACATGTTTGCAGCTAATGGCCACAAGAAGGGGATTCAACAAAAAGGCACTTTGCTGTAAAAAGGACTTTGAACTACCCAACATCCCATAAGGTTTCAGTTTTTGCCGGAAAAGTACTTGACGGAAGTGCAGRAACTATTAATGTTTACATTGATATACTAATACAAAACGCACATTATTGTTCTGCGTTTAAGGAAACAGAATTGTTTGTAACATAAACCTACAGACATGATCATAATCAGAACAATGAAACAAAACATTGGAGAAACTTTTCAGAGTTCCTAGAGATTAATTTGAACATATTTAAAAAAAGAGTGATGTTTCGTGTTTTTTAAAGATCACCTAAAATCTTTACGTGATTGTTTTTCTGACTTGTGTCTGTGTGTGCTGCAGGCTCACATCTCATAGATGAAGACGTCTGGTTTCCACAGCATGTCTACAGGAACCGAGAACTGAGTGATTCCACAAAACTGAGCCGGGTCCCAAGAGATACGTTCGTTCTTCCAACTCTGCAGGAAATGAAAGGTGGATTGAGGAAATAAAAAATTATAAAAATGTTTGTATAATTTTTTTCCAATGCTAAGTCTCAACTTAAAAATAAACAGAATAAAAGTATTTGTTTGCCAAGATTGCCTCAGTCAGCTCACCATAGATGCCCAGATGAAAGGAACAAACGTTTGAGTTTTCTCGACCTGAGAATGAAACGAAGCGCATCAAACTCCCTGATCACCTGAAGAATTAACCATTTATAATTTATTTCAGCACCAACCACTCCCAGTATGGCATAAAGGATGATGTCCAGCTTCACCACGGTGACGTGTGTGTAGTCCAGAACGGGCCGGGTCAGTTTAAACACACTGTTTTCTACTGTCAGGTTCAGGTAATCCAGAACATCCTGGTAACTGCAAACATTACACAACACCCTGCCTACAGAAAAAAATATATATATAAAAGACACGTGCAGGAAGAAAAAAAAGTACAATTCTGTGACTTAGTACCAAAAATTTTAGAATTTCTTATATTATATACAAACATTTCTGTTATGGACTTGAGAACCCAAATGGGAACTGGGAATAAAGGATCAGGCAATGTGGAAGTCACGACAACTGAAACATTCATTATAAAAATAAAAGTTAAAAAAAAACAACAACTCCACACTGCCTAACAAAGGAAGACAGAAAGATCTGCTTAGAACATTATGTTTGTTACTGCATGCTATAGAAACTTTTTAATCAAAACCTTTATATATTTAAAAAATATTTTTGACATATTTCCAACATTATAAACATTTTAAAAACACTTATTTTATTTGGCATTAAAGCTTAAATTTATAATAATCTCATACAC